GTGAACATTTCTTTATAAATAAATTTAATGTATTTTAATTTATTTATAAATCTAACGACACATTTTCTTTAATTAGTTTTTTTTTTTAATATCTAGTAATTCTGACTTGTTTTATATGAAATTAATAACTGACTTCAAATTTCTATTCGGTTGTTTTTGTGTGTGTTTTGAAAATATAGTAAAGTAGTGAAAAACGTAGTTGTGGAAAACAAGGAAATAGAATACCAAAAGAAAGCAACGCAAGAATGATTTTAAGTTTTCATGTTTTTTTTTTCATGCTTATATTTATTTATTTATTTTTATTTATAATGGAAATTTACAAAACTAACAACGTTCTTATGTTTCACATTTTTTACATTTTATTTTACACATTTTCTGCATTTTCCGCTCTTTGATTTCATAGTACGTTGTTGTATACTTTAAAGACATAATTAGTTTTCTTGTTTATTTATTTCTATTAATTAATTTTATTTTTTTTGCTTATTTTTATTTCTTTTCTATCTTTGTCTTTTTTTGTTGTTGTTGTTATTATTGTGTTATTTGCAAGCATTTTTACACGCGCTCCACCTTAACATTTCTGGTTAATGCATATTTATATTTATATTTATACATATTAATATGTGTGTATACTGTATCAGTGCATTTTTAGAACACGCTCTACTTTTTGGTTAGACAGGCAATACAACTCTGTTCTGTTTATTATATTTTCTGCCTTTTCATATTTTTTGTAGGAGTTTTTTTTTTTTAAATTTATTTTTATTTTATTTTTATTTTTTAGTTTTGTATGATTTTATTTTCAATGCATTCCAACTCATTTTGTTGTTGTTGTTGTTGTTCTTGTTGTTGGCAACCATTTTATTCCGTTTTTCGAAATTGCTTTCTGAATTCATGCATTTTTGTTAGTGCTCTTTTATGTTCGTTTATTTAATTTTCATTTTCACTTCGTTTAATTGAATTGGTTTTTATGCTTAATTGTTTGTTTATTTTTAATTTAAATAAGTTTACTTATCTACAATAGCTGCCATATCCATGAGAATTGTTTCCATTTAATTTAAATTTAATTCAATACTTGTGTTTGTTTTTGTTTTTTGTTTTTTTTTTTCTTTGTTTATTAAAAAATTTTCAAAAGCGAATTGTCATTTATTTATATAAATTACGTAGTTATTAGTATTTAAAGAATATACACATGTATATATATATTTGAGTAAATATATATACATATATATAATTAAATGTATATGTATATAAAAATGAAGTTACAAATACATATACACATGCAATGAACGTGAACACACATACACATATACAATATGAAGACGATCGATGGTTAAATATGTATCAATGTGTGTTTATATGTGTGTGTGTGTGTGTGGGCGAATATGGAAGGTATTTGAAAGTGTGAATTATCACATGAGAGAAAAAGTATTGTATGAATCGTTTTAAACTTGAATGTGTCATAAATTAAAACAGATGTAATAATTTTTTTTTTATTCCGAAACACTTTTTAACATACAAATTATGTTGTTATTGTTTAAGCGTTAATTTTGTTTAAAATGTTTTTGTTTTTAGAATTTTCTAAATAAAAATTGTCCAAAAGTGTTTTTGCCAAAGAAATTTCGAAAAATCTGTGCTTAAAATTTTGCATACTTTTGGGCGAAAATTTTGTAGCTAATAGTAAAAGAGTGCTTATGGCTCGATTGGTTAGTGGAATCGACTTTTATTAAAATAACAGCTAATAAAAAGTTATGCACATAGTTTACATGATTATTGATGTATGTAAGAATACTAAATTACAGTCGATGAATGTTTCAGTTTTTTTTCACTTTACTTAAATTTTACTTCAACTTTTTTTACTTTTGATTGTAATAAGTGTTTTAATTAACGTTTAATAATTAAACATAAACTTTTAATTTGAAATACAAAAAAGTTTATTTGATCAAATAAATTTGTGGAAGAAACTAAACAGAATTTATTTTATACTTGAATTTAAAAATATGTTCAGTGCAAAAGTAAACACTTGCAAATTAGTATAAAAATTGTAATGAGTATTTAATTTTTACTTTTTTAAACATTTTTTTATAACCTTTTAGTTCTTGTTTTTTTTTAACTTTTAATAATATTTAGTCTTTCATGTAATTTTTTTTTTTGTTTTTTTTTTTTTTAATTTTTTCTTTTGTTATCATCATTAACATTAACCATTGCAGACACAGTTTATATATATGCTAAACTGTTTCTTTATTTATTATTTTTTTTTCTTCACTTTTTGTATGTATATTTTATTAATAATTCCATATTCATCTATATACTCGCATGTCTACATTCATTGCTATATGTATGTATATATTTTGTTTAGATTATGATTACAAATATTTATATATACATATATATATATATATAGATATATATATATCTATCCTATATATATATATATATATATATACATATATAATATATAACACCTGCAATGCTAACGAGTTTAAATATTTTTACATATTTATTTCATTAATAGTTAGTTATGTAGTTAGTGTGTATTATTTTTTAGTAGATGTGAACCTGTGTGGCGCTAGAGCACAAGTCATGAAACTGTTAAAGATATAATTTTTCGAAGAGCTTACGGGCAGCTAATTGGAATGAATATTTTCAACAAAAAAGTTTAGGTATAAGAAAAGAAAAGAACACATAACAACGATTGCGGACTAGAAGTGGAAATTCTACATTTTTGCTGTGTTTATATTTGTTTTCATTTTTAAGGGATGTGTAGAATACATGTAACTGAAGTAAATTTTGCTTTCGAAAGCCAGTTTAGCTTATGCTTGTAACAACATTATTTGTTTCAGTTGAATCAGGATAAATTGTTAAAAAAAAAATTTAACTTCACACAAGTGCAAAGGTGAATTTGTAAAGATCGAAATCTAGAAAGTAATTTTGAATTTTCGGAATAACTCCGAATTTTTCGGAGTTGTTAAAAAACTCCAATACACGGCATTTTGTAGAAAAAAATCACGTTTGAAACATAATTCACGTAATTATTGGCCTCGAAACTAATTTCAGTTGTGCTAATACAATAACTAACTTCTCCGAAAAAGTGATTTTTTTGAAACTCATAATAATTAAAGTTTCAATAATATAATATATTACAGACAAAGGTATATGAAAACATTCACATACATATGCATCTATGTACATATGAAAATATAATTAAAAATGTTTATAAAAATTTGAACAAACCGGATACTGGATACCATGAGGATACATGCATACGTTTAAATAAAAAAAATTTTGATGGGTAATTTGAAAAAATAAATTTTGAAGTTGAAATGAATAAATTGGAAATATTTCATTACAAAAGTTGTTTGTTGACTTTATGTTAGGAAAGTAGCTAAATAAATGGAGAGGGCCCGAATTTCCGAAAGTTGACCAAATATTATGAGAACGTTCAATTTTAATGGAAGCACAATATAACTATTTAAGTTAACACTAGAATTATTTACTGCAGGTAGATATAAGTTTTCCAGAAGTAGCTAAATGAGTTTTCGGAGTTAGTCCGAAATATTCATAAAATTAAGGGAATGTTAAATTTCAAGGAATACATGTTTCTTTAAATTTTAAATCAACTTTCTTCAACAACGGCAACTATTTATTAGTTAAAGTAACTAAATTTCTACAAAATAAATATTATAAAATGATTAATAGTTTTTTGTCCATATCTCTACATTATCAAATAGAGAGCTGTATTTAGTAGAGGTAGACACTAAAAGTCAAGTCCTGTAGAAATTTCCTTGAACCAAACATGTAACACCCTTCACTTCATATTATCCCGGAGCATCATGACTTTGGGGTGGGTAAACTTCGTGTTTGCTATGCTATAGCGTACCACAGCTCACACCTACATAACTGCTGCCATATTCTTTGGTATTTGTCGGTTTTTACTATTAACTCAATATATATTAGTTTAGATTTACTAATGTAACATTTAGCTTTTATTATATATATTTTTAACTGTTGTTTCTTTTTTAATTTATATTATGTATTTCATTTTAACCTAACACTCTTTTTACAATCATTAATTTTAGTAATTACATAAATTTGAAATACATTGTTGCCACAGTTCGGTTGTTAAATGTTTATGTATGTTGTACTGACACACCTATGCGTATGGCTTAATCCTTTTTGTATATGTATAATATATATATATATATATATATATATATATATATTTATATGTATATATATATATTTTGTAAATTTTTGCTTTAATATTAATAATAGTAGTTGGTTTTTTTTATATTTATAATATTAATAATAGTTTACTTTATAACTTTTAATAATCATAATAATTAATAATTAGTAATTTATAATAATATTAATAATAATTAATAAGTAATCATAATTTTAATTAATTATAAATCTTTTGCATAACATTAAATTGGTTTTTCTCTCAACTTTTCACTTTTGGTTTTTTGTTTTATTTTATGAATTAGTTGATTAAACATTTACTACATACATACATAAGTTTTCATTTTATGACATTATTTTTACATACTTTTTCTATCCTTTGCACACATTCACTAAAATTCACATTCGGTTTATGAATTCGTCATGCATGCCTCTAATATCAGTTAATTATTTGGTTTTGGTTTATACTTCCAGTTTTTGTTTGTTTTTTTTTTTTTTTTTTTTTTTTTTTTTTTTTTNTTTTTGTTAGGGCTTGTATTTATTTTTATCTTTTATTTTTTATTTTTTATTTATTTTTTGCTATGGGTCACTATTTCTCTAGTATTCATTTACTTTTACAATACTTAAGACAGCTTTATACATCCAATTTCTACATATTTCAATCGCACGGTCTCTAACTCTAACTCGCTTCCACCCGGTCGCTCCCCTTTTTCATATTTATGGGCTTACATACATAAGTGTTCATTTATGATGGTTTGTGTACATTTATGAGTGTGTATTTATGTAGGTCTAAATATGCATGCTTCTGTTTTTTGCCAGAATAATTAATTAGTTCTTTTACTTCTTTCTGATTGTTGGCTCTCCTTTCATGTTAATTTCGTTTTTTGTTTTTTTTTTTTTAATTCTTTATGTGTTTGCGGTGGTGATGGTCGATGTTTTTTTTGTGTTGGTTGTACTCGTATGTATGTTGTGTAAATACTTATGTGTGTTGATTTTCCTTTGTAGTTGTTGTTTTGTTCAAGTTTTGCATTAATGTTATGCATAGGAAGGAAAATTATGCTTTGTTATGTTGATTGTTTGTGTATTTCTATGTTGCTGTTGTTGTAGTTGTTACTTAGCGTCCTCGCGCCCAGCGCAGTAGCGCGTCCGCTAAAACGTCTATGTGAGCTTTGTCCTGCAAGAGATAAGATTAAGGGGAAAAAAGTTTTAGTGACTTATTCATGGACAGATGGGAAATCTAAGAGATGATTTTTAAAGAAGGAAGGAAACGTATAAAAATGAAATTAAAACCAGGAAAAATTGTATTACACATTTATTATTCACCATTTTTAAATTTGTTCAAAAAATTTTAGATCTCAAAAATATTTTTGTGTAGATCTGCATTTGCTCTCCATAAAATAATTATCTTTATTATAATTTGTAAATATTAACTAAACTTTTCGTTCATATTTCAAAAATAGCAGCATTAAAATTGCACAAACAAATTGGATAGTAATGAAATAATACATCTAATCAATAAACTTAAACATTTACGTTTAATTAATTTCACTTTATTAAATTTGTTTATTTTATTTCAGTGTATTTAATTTGATGCGTTCAAAATCAATTGTTTTTAATTACGATCGCCACAAAGTGCTCGTTGTAATTCAATTTTATTTTATTGCAATTTTATTTATTTAATTTTGATTAATATAATTTTTGTTTTAGTTTATTTCATTGATTATCTTCAGTTGATTGTATTTTGCTTATATTATTATTTTTTTTTAATTGATTTAATTTAGTTTCTTCATTTTGTTTCAATTAAATTAATCTTTCTATATTTATTATGAATTATTGTAAGTTAATTTTTTTTATTTTATTGTATTTTATTTTATTTAATTTTTGTTTTATTTATTTATTTTTTTTGTTTCATTTTATTCTGGTATTTTCATTTTTCAATTATATTCTTTTCAATTATATTCTATTCCATTTTATTTTATTAAATTTACTTTAATTTTAATGAGATTAATTTTATTTTTATTTATTTATTATATTTCATTTTTTCAAATTGTTTTAAATTATTTTATTATATTATTTATTTTTATTTTTTTTTTTTAGTTTTTTATTTATTTTTTTTTTTTAATGTTAAATTTTATTGTATTTTTTATATTATTTTATTTTATTTTATTTTATTATATAATTTTTATAAATTATTTTATTGTATATTATTTATTTTTATTTTATTTTTTTAGTTTTTCATTTATTTTTTTTATAATGTTTAATTTGATTTTTTTTTTATTTTGTTTATAATATTATATTTAGATTAATTTAGTTTAGCTTAATTTAATTTCATATAATAAAATTTAGTTTATTTCATTTAGTTTCATTTAGTACAATATAATTTTTCTTAATTTATTTTATTATTAATTTACTTTATTTTACTTTCTTCTATTTTAATTTATATCATTTGATTAAGGTTTTTATTTTGCTTTTTTAATTTGTTTAAATTTCAATTTATTTTTTCTTTAACTTACTCCTGTTTCAGTTTGTTTTATTCTGGTATTATTAGCTTTTTATTTAATAAGCTTTTCTTCCAATTTTTATAAGTTTAATTATTTTGATTTACTTTATTTTATTTCATGTAATTTAATTTAATTTAGATAGTTTATTTTATTTTTTTCTATTATATTTTCTTATTTTATATTAATCTATTTTATTTTGCTTCATTTTGCCTTATTTTACTTTAATTTATTTTACTATGTTTTATTTTATATTTTCTATTTTATTTTTTTATTTTATTTTATTTTAATTTTTTTTTATTATAAAATGTTTTATTTTATATTATTTAATTGTTTTTTCTTAATTTTTTTCATTTTTTTATATTATTTTATTTAATTTCAATATTGTTTATTTAATTTTTTTTTTAACTTTGTCTTATTTTATTTTGTTTTCTTTCTATTATTTTATTTTGTTTTAATTTTTTTATTCTATTTTAAATATTTTATTTCTATTTATTTTTTTTTTCTGTATTTTTTTTTTATATTTTATAGTTTTATTTGATTTTATTTTATGTTATTTAATTTTTGTTTTATTTTTATTTATTTTTTATTTTAGTTTAATACATTTTATGTTACTTAATTTTTTTATTTTAAGTATCCTTTTTTAGATAATTTTATTTTACTTAAATTTATTGTTTTTTTTTTTTATTTAATACTACATTAATTAATTTTATTTAATCTAATTGCATATTATTTTATTTTCTTCTCTTCGTTTGAGTATTATATTGTTATAATTTTTATTTTCTTAACTTATTTATTTACATATTTTTTTCTGTTTGTTTTGTCATATTTATTTTATTATCTTAACGTATGTTTTATTTGATTATTCATATTTTTGGTATAAATATATTTTTTATTAGAATTTAATTGACTTATTTTATAATATTATTTTTTAATTAAACAGTCTCGTGTGAGTGAAAATGTTTACGTAATAAATTAATAATAATATAATATTAATAAAAAAAATTAATTTAATTTGGTAAACCAACTGAAGAGCTTTTTCAATTTAAAAAGCTGTCTGATTCAATAGTTGTGTTAGAAATTGTACATAATCTTATGTCGTCTGTTTAATTTTTCCTTTTGATTTTTAAAATTGAAAATATAGTGAGTTATTTATGTATAATATATATATTTTTTGCCAAATATATGTTAAGTTTAATTATCTACTTAAATTATCATAAATTAAATAATAATTTAATTTCTCACCGTTTTGTGGAACATGCATGATTTTCGATCCTCATCCTCACCCTCCGGACAATCGATGAAACCGTCGCACAGTACATGATCGTCTATGCAACGATACCGACCCTGTAGGTCGGGTGTGGGACACGCGAAGCGCTCCATACCATCCATAGCGGTGGGGCATTCTAAAAGAAGAAAGCAAATAGGATATTTAAAATATTCATGTTCAAAGTAAATTTTAGAAGTTCTTGTGATAAAAGAGTTAAAGTTTTGTTTTAATTGATAAAAAATTTAATTGATTTATTTATTTGAGTGCACCTTTGCACTGAAAAAGTGTCAGAAGTTTCATGTAATTTCAATAAAGCACACCAATAGCACTTTGTACCAGTTTGAATCTTTATGTATTATATATACAAAATTGTACATAGAGCTTAACCTGTTGCCTGTAAAGCTGTTGTTTTCCAAGTAGACATAATTTATTGTATATACACGTAGCCAAGTTTATTGGTATTTAGTTTTGTGTACAATTATTTATTGATATTTGTCAATGTAATTTGCTTGTAATTTTACATTTGACGTCAGCACTTAATTGGGTTCGATTAATGTTGTGCTGGCACGAATATTTGGTGACAGATATATCTCGTTCTTTTATTGAATAACATATATACCTATAGTAATTTACTTTACATAAATATTTATTATATTTCAGCTTAAGTAAATATGGCAATTATTTCTAGTGAAATTGATGAAATTATTTTTATTTCAAACAAAAAAAAAAATTAATTAAATATTTAAATAAATAAGTGAAAAAAATGAAATGAAAGAGTAAATGAAAATTAAATAAAAAATAGAAAGTGTAATATAAGTAAATAAATGTATAACTATGTATTTAATTCAATAATATTATTGGAAATAAATAAATAAATAATAATTAAAGAGTAAATAATAAATAAATGAAAAATAAAGAGAATAAAAAACAATGTAAATAAATAAATGTATAACTATTTATTGAAATAAATAATAATTTTAAAAATAAAAAAAAATATAAATAAAAAATTAATTTAATAAACATATGATATAATATATAAATATAATAAAAAAGTTTAATAGATAAATATTATATTTAAATAGATAAATATAATATTTAGGTCAAATAGACAGTCATCCATTATTTTTCGATTAAAATTAAGGTTTCATTTACTAGTTAGAATTATATTTAGAAGGTAATGTCATTATGTCTCTCATAGAAAAACTTTATGCTATTGACAAAAAATTGTTCTTGTCGCTTGTAGCTTTGTGGTATGTGGTTGTCCTGATGGAACACAATTCTCCTCATTCCTTCGGACGGCCCAATTGCTGCCAATATGGGAAAAGAGAGTCTTTGGCCGTCAATCTTTGCTGCAGACAATTTGTGCCGGCTCACTGCCCTTCGACCAGCACAGTTGTATATCAGGTTATCGGATTGAAATCGACGAAATAAAAATTTTGCATAAGTTACTGTTACAGTACCAGACACATTTTTAGTTGATTGACTTGTGTTTTCACCTTTTTCGAATGCCTTCAAATATATAAGGAACATCGCTGTATTTACAAAACCAGCTGTGCGTCTTAGTCTACTCTGCAGACTAGTTACGGTTTAACTTTAAGCTAATTGTGCTGAAACGCACACATCCACTTAACTACACTTTTCACACAAAACCAAGTGTCACAGGCATACCCAAAGCCTGCGGCATATTTCGCCACTCTAACAAAACGTCAATACCACACAGATCCATCTCCCTCATATCTGGCATGTCAACATTTAAATGCATACATGCGTAGGCTTTACTCGCCCATTTTATGTATATGTACATGAGTGTGTGTGTGCTGGCGATCGCGTATTTGTATTGTAGTTTGACGTAAGTTGGCACACGTAATCGGCGTAGTCCCGTAGTCCAAAGTTGTCGTACATTTTGGTAATTTAGATGATTTTGTAAAATAATATGAAATGTGTATGTTGTTTGTCCAGCCACAAGTATGGCATACTTTGTGGCGCTACGAAAGTAATTACTTGTTTTTTGCGTGTTTCTTTTGAAAATGAATGTCATGCCTGCTTGTGTCTGTGTGTGTGTGTGTGTGTGTGTGTGTGTGTGTGTGTGTGCTTTCTTTGTAGGTATGGGCAAGGTCAGCGGTCAAATGGTGTCAGTCGGGGTTACCGCACGCAATCGAAATAGACTATTTTTGTGGCTGAGACCTTTTTTTCTATATTTTTTTGGTGCTCATTATATGGGGTATTTATGTAAATAGGATACATTTCGGTGTGGTAATGCAGGTCAATTGCTTGTATAGAGGTTAGAGAGAAATTGGAATAAGTTAATTCGATAATCGATATTTGTATCAAAAATGACTTAATAAGTGTGTATGAAGGAGTATGTACAAATATCGTGAAGTCAATGATGTTAGTATACAAAATCGTGAAAATATTTCCAAGCAGAATAACACTTTTAATATAGTGTTTTACATTTTTTTTAAATAAATTTAAAGTTAGCTTATTTTTTCAAACACATAATCTTAAAGCTCGCTAAATAAAAAGTTTGAATAAAGTGAAAAGAATATATATATATATTTATATTCACTCTCGAAGCAAAAATAGTAGATATAAGGAAGACATCCAAAAAAACAAATACGGCAATAAAAGCTTTAAAATTTAAGATTGAAAATTGTTTCCCCTCAGTTTTATTTTTTTCTGAACGAAAATTCCGAAAATAATTGGCAAATAGTCTCAAATATTATTTTTCATATCTCGAAAGGAAGAAAGTCTCCGGTCTCTTTTGTTACTAATCAAATATCTGTCTGAAAGCCAATATTTCAAGCAATATTTTTTATGAAAACAGTTATGTACATCGTCAATAGTGCGAAATTTATTTTAAATCGAAGTAAATTCTATTGAAAAAATTACCCAACTGGTTTTTTTTCCTATGAAAAGTGGTGTAGGAGTTGCAAAAAGGTTGCGAAAAATTTGTGTGATTTATTGGAGAATTTTCTATGTGAGCCCTGGTGCCAGGAGTGCTTTACTCGATTTCGTTCCGGGATTTTTGTTACGTAAATGCACTTCATTCTGATTAGTTAGTCAAACAAAAAGCCTATGAAATTCTGCAACTAATGGAGCAAGAGTGGCACGTATGCTGTTAGAAGATAGTGGAGGCATTACACATTACCACAGTTTGTAGACATTTAAAAGGGTATTCAAGAGTGCTTTTTAAATGGATGCCAAATAACCAACACAAAATAAAAAAATTATTTAACCAAATTAACATCAGTAAAATGATTCAGGCCGGTGAAAAATTGGTTACATATAGGAGAATATGAGACAGAAGCAATCACTGTCAAAATTATTTTAATACAAATCAAACCATGGCGGGGCTTGGTTGGAAAGGTATAATGCAATCACTGCTGAGTTTTCAGCAAACTTTATTTTGGTGGTACAAAAATAGGCCAACCGTAAAGTCGCTGATAATCATAAGACCAAGTTCTTCGCTGATAAACCGGAGAGTTTCTACACTGACGGTAATATGAAGCTGCGCGAAATATGTATAGGAAATAATGGTATTTTTTCTCTTCTTCTTTACAGGCACGATTTTTACACTATTAAATCTCAGTTAAGGGGTCACATAGGTCTTGAAATTAAAAAAAAAATAATATTTTTGATAACATTTTGTATAAAAGTACAAAGTGTCAGGATTATTTTCCCCCAAGCTTCCAGTCCATCGAGATGAAAATGTATAAATTAGAGAGTTTTATGACCCGCCGTCTTTTTCATGGCTTGACTTGAACCACTTTATTGCAATCGGTAGTCAAAATTCATCAACGACTATTGAAGCGATCGAGTTCAAATTTTGTACACTTCTTTTAAGCATGTTTTTGAAGTCGCTGAACGAAGGATTTATTTTATCTTTGGTTTGAACTCATTTTACAAGCCAATATGTGTCTTAATTTTATGCAAAAAATTACGTTTTTTAATTTTTTATTTTTTATTCGTTCAAGGAAAATTCACCTACAAAAACTACAATTAAATTAAGAAAGATGTGTTTTCATGTATTTTAAACATAAAATTTTGTTTATTGATGAAAAGAAATTTGAGAAAAAAATAGGGAAACAAGTTGTTACAGATTTTCTTAGAAGAAGCTTAACCATTTGATTCATCTGCTCTGAAGTATTGGATTTCGAATGCGTTTTTCAATTTTTCATCTTCAGCTTGAAATCAATTGAAAATATATTCATTTTCAAGGAAAAAAAAGTCTTGGAATTTTTATAAAAAAAATTTAAGGACAACAAAAAATAAAATTTTAGTGTTTTATTTGCACTCCCTATATATGTAAGTTTCTGAAAAAGTTGGGTTGCCGAAAATTAAAAAAATATGCACAATTTTGGATTTAAAATCCCAAAACCCCGCTTTGGGATTTTTTTTAATTAATAACAATTACAGTTAAAACGTTGTGAATAGTTTAATGCCGAAAAAATTAAAGAAATAGCTTCAAAAATTTTGTAAATCAATCAAATTATGGGAACTAATATTATTTTGTTATAAAATTTTCTGCAGCTGGTAACTCTAACTTTTGGTGTCATGTAAAATTGTCAAAAACGTATAGAATTATTAAATTTCTAAGGGAAAAGGTTGTGTTTATATAACTTTAATTTAGAAACCGATTTTCACATATTTTCTTTGTCTGCTGAAAAGCTTTTGGGAAATGGATGATCTTGTGAAAAAATCGTGTTTGAAAATTCAAAACGATGAAAAAGTATGCAGTGAGTTATTGTGGAAAAGAAATTAAATAGAAATTGTGGGAGTGATTTACAGCAACATTTTTTGAAATTTTTTTGCAATATTTTTTCTAAAAAAAAAAACACCAAATCTGTGACTGCGACGTCTTTAGTACTCATGTAAAAAAAATATAATTGTATGATTCGTATATTCTTCTGTATAAAACAATTTTTAACATATTTACTTATATATGATATTAAAAAAAATATATTTAATTTTATAATATAAAAGCCAAGTACCACCCATTGTATATACGACGAAGTTGGTTCGGTGACGTCAACGAATTTATATAAACTAAAGTATTATTTTTCCTTTTTTGCTTCTAAATTTCTTTTGCATGTTTCTTTCAGAGACTCATCGTCAAGTTGAATATTTTATATAGGG